GCTGTGGCTGCTCTGTTCCACTCCTGTGTCCTCTGGTCCTTGTTCTCTGGCTTCTCATCTTTTGTCCCCTCCCGCTCTTGGGTAGCCAACAGCTATGCTCTTACTTTGCCCAGGGCATTTTTTAAAGGCAATAAGTTGCTTTAGGGAACTAGGTTGGTGAAATTTTAGATCCTAACACTGCTGGGAAGGTGTTTGAGATTTCAGGATGATTTTCAACATTTTAAAACCTTCCCCAGGGTAGCACAGTGCCAGTCGTGAGGACACTTACTTGAAAGCACTTTCCGCACATTTTCAAGTTTGCCCCGCACGGCAGTCTGTGAAGTAGGAAGGACTGTGTTCTTGTTCCCATTTTAGAGATAAGGACACTGAGCTTCAGAGATGCAAGAGGACTTACCATGGGGCATGTTACCAGTAAGTGGCAGAAATGGTTTGATCACATAGGCCTTTGTCCTAATGTCCAGCACTCTTCCCTCTGTTCCTCAGATGGTCTCCAAGTATGCTATTTTGGGATCTGTCCTGAATGTTAACATATCCGAAGTTGTTAACTGAGTCTCTTTTATAGACAAAAGATGGGATTTATTTGATTCAATTTACATCAATTCCATGTTGAATTCATCCAGAGGGCTGGGGCTGAATTTGGGGATTAGAAATGGAAAACCCAGGCTCTTCCCTCAAGGAACCCGCAGATTAAGGGAATGCTTGTCTCACTGGTACTTCACAAATCCCTTCCCAGTCCCCTCCAAGCCTTTGGAAAGAAATTACACTCTCTACTCTGCCAAACTGGAGGGCTGACTCTTCGGAGTGGCCTGGTCTTGGAAGAGGAGCATATGGTCTGGAAATCTGATAAAGCCAGACCCTACTGGGAAAGGCACTTTTTGAGCTGCTTCTGAAAGAAGATTGTGGTGAAAAAGGTCATGATGGAGAGCAGTATGTCTCCTTCGGCATCAAGATGTGAACGCCCAGTTTTCCTCTCTTTCTGTGAGCTTTGTGGCTGAACATGCCCCTGCAGGAAGGGGACCTCCTCAGATTTTCTTGAGAGAACGAACCAGACCTGTCCCATCCGACCAAGAGAGCTGCCAGTCACACTTGCATGTTGATCTTCTCTTGATCCTAGATGACCTTTACAAGCAATGTAACATTACAAAGATCTGCTGTGGTGATCGCTTTTTCTAAGCACAAAGCCAGGCCAAGTGGCCCCACAGGCATGGCTGAGACACTAGGAAAGAAAAATCAACATGGTGTCTTCTCTGAAAAAGCTGGAAGTCAAAATGGCATCCTTCCTTGAACCCCCCCTTCCTGTGTCTGGAAGAGCTTGTTTGGGAGGGTGAGCTGGGGAAAGGGTAGGGGCAGGTGTGTGTCTCTGCCACATGCTGAGGCTGCAGGAGATTTCTTCCATGGACCACTATCTATTCTTCCCTTTTGCTTCATTTCTATTCTTGTGACACAGTTAAGGTTTTCCCTGGCTGGGGTTCTGGTTAGCCCTTTGCTTTCCCTAACACCACAGAGCGCCCTCTTGGGCAGGTGACTTTGATATCCACATCCTCCTGGGGAGCATGGGCAGTGACACTGGCCTTCTTTGTTTACTTGGACAGAATCCTAGACCTGGGCAGAATTTGGGGACAAAGCCTGCCCTTCCTCCTGTCTTTGCTGCCTAACTTTCCCTTGATTTCTTTTTTCCTTAAGAAACCTTTAGGACATAGGAAATTGTGAGTTATTTGGGGATCTTAGACAATCAATACCACCTATTATTGTCCCTCAGGTGGAGCAACAGAGCCAAAGGTCTAATTTACTAGTGACCCTAGATTTGAAACTTAATTGATACCTGGAGAGCCGTGACAAATTGAACCATTGTAGGTCTCATTTTCTGTAAGCACCATCTTACAAATTCTGCTTCCTACCTTGGAATCTAATCTCACGCCGCAAAAATACCCAGAGTAATTCCAGCAAAATGAAACTAAAATAAAACACAGATATATGCTTTTCAGACACTTATAAATTATATAACATGAAATTCAATAGAAAACCTATAGCAGTGTTCAACTGGGGGGCTCTTTTTCTTTCGGACTGAAATGGACTGGCTGAAGCTTCTGAAAATATTGCTTTAATGAAGTCTGGATTGAAGCCATACTCTGTTTTTGATAAATCTCCCTATCCAGGGCTGTCAATTGAGGGTGATTTTGCCCCCCAGGGGGTATTTGGCAATGTCTGGAGATATTTTTGGCTGTTACAACTTAGAGGGGGTGGTGGTCCTACTGGAATTTGGTGGGTAGAAGCCAGAAATCCTGCTAAATATTCTACAAGGCATAAGACGGCTCCCTGCAACAAAGAATTATCTCCCCAAAATGTCAATATCATGGCTGTATTGAAACGCCCGATAGCAAGCATAGACATTTCAAACTGAGATAAAATTCAGGTCATTTCTTTGGGGCGGGGGGAGTGTCAAAAACTAGATTTACATAAATGTCTCTCAGGGTCTTTGAATGGTACCTGATGGGGTTGGGGGAAGTGTGGGCGGTCAGGAGGTTCCACCTGGACCTCTCCAGTGTTCCCTCGCTCCTCCATGCCAGCAAGCCAGCCGAGCTGCCTTTAATAGCAGTGCAGGTCATCACTGCTGCCCATTGTTTCAGTGGGGCTTTGATTGTGAATACAAGTCTTGGTTATTACTCTGGGTTTTATTTATGTGGGGGAAAAAGTCATAAAAAGTGAGTGTGGGTCACAAATCACGCTGGGTATTGCCTGCACCCAGACATAAGGTACACATTCCCTCAGAGTTCTCTCTGTTTTCCTTGGATCTTTAAATTTCCTGTACAGCTAGCGTATTGAATTTTCATAATTGCCACTGCATTTCTTGTAATTTATACTCATTTCCCAGAAACCTCTAACGGGCTTATGGTTTGTCATAAAGAGCAGACCCAAAGCTTTTACACAAGCTATGAATGAGTATTCAGGAGTCATCTCTGATCTCGGCAATTCTTACTGAAGGCACCAAAGGCCATCCTCATCTGAAAGTACCAGAACCTTGTCTGCTGCCCTTTTCCCCCTCCACCCTCCCAAGGAAGACTCTGTAGTAATCAATCCTTTGAGAAGCTTCTGTTAGCTTTTTGGATCTAAGAAGTTCCTTAATTGCTATTTTTCTTAGTGTTTGAAGCATTTGAAATGTGTCTGAATTAATATATATATATATGTATATATAAATATATATATACGTATATATATATATATATACACACACACACACACACACACACATACACATACACACACACACACACACACACACATATGTATATATATAGTCAATATTGAAATGACAGCCCTCATCCTAATTAGCTGAATTCTTTTACTGTATACCACCTTCCAGTCCCTCATGAACACATAAACATAAATTTGGAAAACTGACTCTATTTCATTTTAAAACCCTTTGAAGTGAGGGGCTTCACTCACATACGTGTGGAGTATCGGTTGGGGGAGTAGGGAGTTTGGTACAAGCGGATGGGAAGAGGCAAAAAGGAGACTAAATCTCTTCGAGGGGGAGCCAGCCCTTTCATCTCGGCACACTCTGGGCCAGCGTTGGGTCTGGTCCATGAGCGGTGCTCCCCGAACGCAGATGGTGGGATGAAGAAAGAGGGATAAGAGATGCAGTTCTGTGTGGATCTACGCATCAAACGCATGTTCCTTGAAAGCCTGGGCAATGGAGAAGATTGTACAGATCTCACCTGAGAGGAGAGATGCAGGCCCCTTGGGCCCTTATTCCACGATGATGTCTTACTGCTGACTGACTGGTAAAGAGGTCCCTCCTGAGGCGTGTGACCTTGGGCCACTGGGGTTGTTACGGAGAAAAGACGCTGCTGTGTTTAGGTCGGGTCCTTGGTAATGGCCCTGATTACTAGTGCTGCGAACATTTCTCTTGCTTAATAATCCACTTTTAATTTTACCCGTGGCAGTTCTTCGTTCCCACAGCACAGAGATGATTAAATCTGTGTTCAAATGGTTGTAAATGCACCCAGAGGTCTTAAGCAATGGGTGAATTATACTCATTTAAGTTAGAACATAATGTTAGCATTCAGCCACCTCAGGGATAAATACAAATTACTGAGGTTTCTATAAGTTCCATCATATCCTTTTCGTTTGCTTTTCCTAGACACCATGCAGGATGAGATTCAGGGGACGGGGTGGGGGGGATGGTCACTCCTCTGGTGTCGTAATTCTGAGGTATGGGTTTCCAGGGTGGCTTATTAAAAATAGGTCCAGGAAATGTGGCTTTCTTTTTAAGGGCCTTTCCTGTCTGATATTATGGAATTTTTTTTTTTTTTAGGGAATAAGACACAAAGAAAGGCTAAGAAATGTGTTCTGCCCCCTGTACATGTAGGGCACCTTCCATGGAAGATTGTCATGTGAATAGAGGCTGGGATTTTGTCCCTGTTTCTCACATGGTCCCAGAGTTGAGGCCTGCTGGTGCCCAGGAAGGACTAGGAGAAAGGAATCTTAAAAAAAAAAAAAAAAAAAAAAGATTTCCAAGGCTGGGATTCTGTCCCTCTTTTAAAGTACTCACTCTGTCTCCCTTTTAATATGGGGATGTGGGGGAAAGTTTCTCCCTGTTGGCCATGGGATTTCACAGTGCTCCGCCTGCCCCTGTGGGAAGCTCTGTCATCAGATTCCCGCTCAGGGCCCCAGACAGCCAGGCAAACATGAATGCTCCGCCACTCCTGGCCCTGCTCCTACAGGTGATGTTGTTTTGTGCCGCCTGACCCTTATTCATGCTGTTCCCCACTCTGCTTTCCCCCTTGGATAATTCCTGTTGTCCTAAGGCCCAGCCAGGTTGACCCCCCTGCCCAGTCCAGCTGGGAAGGCGCCCGTCTGGGTCTGTGGTACCTACTGCCCTGTCGCGGTTATCTCTGTACTTCCTGGCTCTGTGTGCCTGTGGAACGGAGCTGGATGGAAGTTTCCCTCATGACCCTCCTCTTGGGGCTGTTACCTGGCTGGGTCTCACCTAATGTCACCTGGAGTTTAGAGTTGATCTTACAATGTACACTGGGTCCATTTTCAAGGGAGAGAAAGGGAGAGTGTTATCCCAGGTGACCAAGTCTGAGAGGCAGGTGGTCCTGGGAGCTGGAGACTGACTGAGCCGTGGTCGGTAGGCTCAGCGAGTGGGGCCTGTTAAATATCTCCAGTAGTGCCCATAGATGGCACTAGAGCCTTGGAGATCTGCCTACCACTGGGCACTCCAGGGTTGACGGAGACGCACAGGGCATGGGTCAGTCTTTGTGGCTAATCAAGGGCTCAAAACCACAGACAGGACCAGTCCAGGTGATACTGAAGCATCCGGCAGGGGCTGCCACCCATCAGTGACCTTTTCTGATGATGAAAGGGTGAGATGGAGAATTCAAAGTGAGTGGGAGCTAGGGAAGGAAGAGAGAGCCAGAAAAAAAAGGAGAGGAGGAGATTGGGAGAAGAAGGGTTGGGGGTGGGTAGAGATAGCAAGGATATAATGAGACAATGGGGAGGCAAGGGACAGAGATGGAGTCTCTGACACTGAGAATGAAAACAGCCTGCCTGTGCTGTTTTGATTTATAGTAAATATGTCTTTGTCTTTATCTACTGGTCCTGGCTCACAGCTCCCCAAACCCTTGGAATTCCCTAAATGTTGAGAAGTGATAAAGGTGTCTTTGTTATGTGAATGAAGTGACTTTTGAAAGCACTTAGGGATGGGGGCTGGCTGCCGAGAGAACCAACCCCGGGATTAGAGGGTTGGAACTTTCAGTCCCACCCCCTGACCTCTAGGGAAGGGAGAGGGGCTGGAGGCTGGAACAATCACCAATGGCCAGTGATTTAATCAGTCATAACTAGGTGATAAAAACCTAGAAGGACAGAGTTTGGAGAGCTTCCAGGTTGGTGAACAGATGGAGAGTTGGGGAGAGCGGCGCACCTGGAGAGGGCATGAAAGCTCCGTGCCCCTTTCCCCACACCTTGCCCTACGCGTCTCTGCCATCTGGCTGTTCCTGAGTTACATCCCGATATAACAAACCAACGGGCTAGTAAGTAAGATGTTTCTTTGGGTTCTGTGAGACGTTCTAGCAAATGAATCAAACCCAAGGAGGGGGTTGCTGGAATCTCCAGTTTGTAGCCGGTGGTTCAGAGGCAGAAGTGACAACCTGGGCTTGTGACTGGAGTCTGCAGTGGAGGGGTTCTTGTGGGACTGAGCCCTTTACCTGACTCTGTCTTGGGGTTGATAGTGTCCGAGGATTGTTTGTTGATGTGGGGAAGCCTACACACCACACACACACAAACACACACGCACAGTGGAATTGGGTCCAGCAACCCTTTGATTACCCAAAAAAGGTGATTCAGGGAAGACATGTTGGCAGGAGTGATGGGTAAACGCTGAGGGGAGGAGCAGAGGAGAAAGCCGTCCAGTCAGGGAGAAAGGCGTGCCCCCAGGATCCCCCAGGGACTAGAAGAGGCACATCATTCCATCAGGATCTTTTATTAACGTATAGAAAATGTGTTTAAAAAAGGAACTATACAGAGGCTAAAAGCAACTGGGACTAAAAATACTAGTTAACAATGGTTAACAAGCGGAGATTCCAGTCTTTGAGCTACAGTGCCGGAGAGGGAGGGGGAAAGCTGGTCTGTCCTCTCCCTTCCTCTGTCTATTTCTATTTTTCATTTAGTTCATTGAAGTGTACATCGCCTGAGGAGTGTGTACTCCATTTCTTCTCATTTTTTCCCTTCCTTCCAGTCTTTCTTTTAAGTAAATGCTTTTCCAAGCACATGGTAGCTACAAAGTCAGTAAATTGGTCTTTGTTATTTTTACCTGAAAAGGCTGTTAAAGGTTAAAACAACAAACTCAAATTCGGAGGGACGGGAGGATTTGTTGTGTAGGATTTCTCAGAACAACCGCCTAGAGTCCACCAGGGTGGGTCCCAGCTGCCGAGCCCCTGATAACGGCTCCCTCAAAGTCACGGTGACTTGCGTGGGGTACCTGGGAATGCCTGTGGGCCTGGAGTGTATCTGTGGTTGGAAGGATCAGACGGATATGTGTGAATAATAGGAAGGCGGTCTGTGTGTCAGCAGTAACTCGTGTAGATTCTGAACGTTGAGTCTGTGGGACTGTGGCGGAGTCCAGGCACCAGAAAGGGTGTGAGTGGGGACAGGGAGCTGGTAGGGGACCTCCTTCTGGGCTGACATTTTTGGTGTCTGCTGCATCTAACACAGAGGTGTCACTTCTGCCCAAGCAGCCCCCACATGGAAGAGGGCCATAAAGTGCAGAATTCTCTCCCGGGAGATCTATTCCTTTACATATAAATGTTGTTCAAATATGGAAATGGGGTTTATTTCTGGAGTTTGGGCCTGGCAGGGAAAAATACAAGTGACCAAGTGCTGATGTCCTTCTGAATCCCCCAAAGGAGCAAACAGAGCTGAGATTAGAGCCACTGTCCTTTGAGTCCCCGTGCCCATGGGAGATGGGAGCAGGTCAGGAGAGGGGAAAAGATACCAGGGAATAAACAAAATTAATTGGTCTCCTGCCTTCTTCTAGCTGCATTCCTCAAAGATGTCCACTGATATGCCCCTGCAGGGGACCAGGGCTGTCTTTGTACCCCTGAAAGTCTGGAAGGTGGGAGCCCAAATCAGTCTATATGACCTGCAGATTTTAGCCTAAAAAAGTCATGGGCTTTCTGCATTTGATGCCATCTGCATTGGTCTGAAAATAATATAATCCTTTTCCTCCCAAATTCAGGAGTAAACTGACATGCCAGGGACATGTACCATGCATACTCTGTGACCTCCCTGCTCCCTCCCCAATCCTGGCTACCTCGTCTGCCTCAGTTGGAGGAGAATGACTCTGGAATCGCCCACGCTTCTAACATTGGGTAGGAAAAAGGCTGCATATTCTCCAAGGAGTCGGGTGCTGGATATGGTGTTTGCATTCTGGTCTTTATCTTCCCCTCCCAACCCTCTGTGACCCTCTCCTTCACCTCCCAAATTAGGGGAAAAAAAAAAAAGGAAAAAGTTGCCAGGATGTTTCTGACTCCTGTTGGTGAGGTTGAAGGTCCCCTGGAGTATGTGGCCCAAACAATGCAAGAACTCCATTTCTTTAAAAGACAGAGAGGAGAGAGGAAGTGGTATGAGAAGCCCCTTGGTGAGAACATGATTAAATCCAAGCTGGTGGCCACGCGGCTGAGTAAAGAGAAAGGGTGGCAGCTTATGAAGCAGCAAAAGCGAGAGCTTAGAATTAGACAAACAGCTTCCAATCACAGCTCTGCTTAGTGCTGTGTGACGTTGGGCATGTTACTTAACCTTCCTGTGCCTCCGTCCTATCATCTGTAAAATGGTTAAACTTGAGCCAGCGTGTGGTGAGAATTTAGCAAAGTAATAGATGTCAAGCTCCTAGCACAGTATCTGGAAAGTAGGTGTGCAGTAAATACCACTTCTCTTAGTCTTCACTTGAGGAGAGGAAAATTAAAAAGCCTATGCCAGGTCTGATCTCAGCTCTGTTACTAATTAGCTGTGCGAACGTGGGCAAGTTGCCTGACCTCTCTGGGCCTCCGTCTGCTGGAGTAGGAAGTGAGAGGGATGGGTCCGATGAGCTTGAGTCCCTTCCAGCTCTGAAGGTTCCCAACGTTTGCATTTTGGAGGCAGTGGTGAGCACACTAGTGTTCAGGACAGGATGCTGAAAAGCAACACAGGGTCTCTCTAGGGGCTGCCAAACTGGTGATGAAAAGAAAACAGTAGTTCTCATCTACCCATTTGCCTCCTGGCCACGCATCTGGACCCAAACCCTCTCTTGTGGCTTTGGTGTCCCAGGCCTCCTGGGGTATTTGCATTGCCTCCCATGAACCCCTGGTGCCAGTGAGCCCAATGCCAGTACGTGGGAGAGCTGAGCCCCTGAAACCAAAAGGGTTAAATGAACTGGAAATTTAGCATCAGCCCAGCCTCACAGCCGACAATGTGGAGCTGTTTTATTAAGTTAACAGCGGGCCGGGTTTTTCTAAGGAACGAGAGCTGTGCTATTTGGATGCTCTGCAACAGCCTTATTAAGTGTGAGGAAGGAGGGAGGATTTCCGGTTTGGAGAAAATGCAACACTGTCCAAAGATGGCGAGGTCTGCCGAGGACATTTGGACAATGAAGCGCTGCAGGTGCGGTGAAGTCATGCTTCAGGCAAAGGGTGACCTTGAAAAATTAATCAGAAGTGCTGGAGATGACAAACCAGGCTTGTGGCCGAGGTGAAGAAAAAGAGAAGTCCAGGCAGATTGGAGGAGCAGAGCAAGCCCTGCTGCTTCTCAGTTTCAGTGCAGGGAAGGCCCCGGGTGCCTTCATTTCTCCTCGGGTGAAGCGGGTGAGCTCACAGGAGCTCAGGTGGGGGCTAGGGGCCAGAACTCAAGAAGCTGATGCTGGTCCTTTTACCATGGCCCCTCTCACCTGGTCTCTGCCTTTTTTTTTTTCTAACTATGAGGCCATCGGGAGAAGGCTTGCTTTTAGTCTCCAGTGATTTATTAGCTTCTTTTTAATATTATTTTGTATTGTATATTTTATTTTTCTTCCCAGCTGTTTCTCAAGGCTTGAAGAACCCAGAACAGATATAAGTAAATCCAGTGTGGCTACAATTAGGAGGAACCAGAGCCATTCTCTCAAAATTGGACCCAAATCTACACCAGCACAGCCTCTTAAGCATCCTAGAGTTTTTCCCTTCCTTGATTTTAGAGGTTTTCATTTGGTCTACGAGTGCTCATTTGGCCTGGTGGTGTCAAAATGTTCCAGTATTGTTGAGGGAAACCTTGTCCCATCTGTGTGGGGTTGGGTTATGGAAGAAACAGAAGTTTGGGGAAGCATTTAGTCAATCTTGGCCAAGGGACCCTGAGGTACAGCCAGAGAGAGGCCACAGGCACAATCTAGAAGCCAGCCCTGTGACTCACCTTTCCTCTGAGCAGAGAACATCTCTGCTGTTCCCAGGAGGAAAGCGGACCCCTCCCCCCGGGGGGGGTGGCTGGGCAGGGCCGAGTCAGCTGCTCCTGGTACCTGGAGCCTTGTACTGGAGGCAGCCTCCCAAACGTCACAGATTCACTCCAGGCCCCCGAGATCCCAAGGCCCTCCTTCCAGCCTTGGCAAGTTGGAGGCAAGTGAAAACATATTACCCCACCCTCTGGGGAGTATTAAAGCTGAACCGAAGTGTGCATCTTCCTGAAATTCCTTATCCAAGTTTTAAGAGTGGACAGTGAGAAGCAAGTAGAGGGCCCCCCTTGGAGGGAAAAAATGAAAATAAGGGATTAGATTGAAGAGGAGTCTGGTGTTAAGAAAGCAAGCCGCAGAAAAACACTTATCCTGAGTAAGTGGCTCCAGCTTTCCTGAAATTCTGGGTGGAGATTAAAAAAGAGAAGGAAAAATATTTTCACGCCCCAGGAGTATTTGCCAATCCAGGCCACCAGCTAGTCGACTTCAACCCTCTCAGCTCAGTGCATCCACTGTTCTCACAGCTTCCATTTATCTGCTAGGGGAGGGGACAAAGAGAAACTCACAAACCCTTTCTCAATGGAGGCTTTTAAAAGAGCTCTTTGAAACGATTTCATAATGACATTTTGTCCCTTAACCTACAGCTCTGTTCTGGGACTGGATTTTTAAAGTATAAAATGTGGTTAAGGATTGCTTGGTTTGGCATTGAGCTCATTGGCAACCGTGGTTCTTCAGGTTTGTCTTTGAAATAACAGTTTCCCTTTGCAGAGAGCTGGTTGGCTCCCAGATGGGAGGGAACAGGTGTTGGGTGTCTGAGCACTTTATGAATGGTGGAGTGAGGGGAGCTGGCAGGTGAAGGGTAGGGTGGATTCAACTATTTGTACAAGTTTGCTTTGCATTTTCTTGCTGCCATTTTTGTTGTTGTTGTTTCTCTTGCAAATCAACCTCCTGTGCAAGTCAGCTGGCCAGTTTTCCTGGGTCCTGGTTTGGTGCGAGTTCTGAAAACCTGGAGGCACCACTCACTGTCCTCAGCCCCACCATCAGGAGGTGACTGGGGGTTGTAAACGCCACCTTGTGGTCACACTTAGCAAGTCTCCCTCCTCCAGTTAAATCTGCCTAAAGGCTCACAGGAGTTTTTCACAGATCTATCATCCCTTCTCCTGCCCCTTTATGTCTATTCCCTTCACCTTCCAGAAGATAACTCTAGAGAATGTGAGTTTACTGTGTTCAAAATGATCTTCGTCTGATGGGGAAATGCAATAACAATAAACTATCTGGATCTTGGGTCTCGGCAGTGAGTCTTCTGCTGACACTGGTAGGGTTTTTTGTCTTTTTGTTTCTGTAAGTACACATCCTAGTATGTCTGCAGTCAAACTGCCTCTGAGTTGGGTCCACACCACCTTTGGTGTGCTGAGGGTGAGTGCTTTGCGAGTATTGCTTCCTAGCTGCACTGTTGAGAAGAGCACATGTGCTCAGAGGAACAGGATGAGCAGGAATCAGTGAGTCCAGTTACGAAGCTTTAAGTCAAGCTGACCATGGGCCTTGGGGAGATAATGGGGCACCAGGTCTCTCAAAAAATGGTGACAGCTTGTGAGAAAAATCACTCTATTTAATAAAAGGAATCTAGAGGTCCTTTTATAGAAGGTTGGGTGAGCTAATCTTTGAAGTTCCTTTCTTGCTTTAAAAATTCTTTAAAATGACTCTAGGCAATGCTGCTGCTACTATTTATAAAAATGTTCCATAGGGTAAAATGGTTTTCCAATAAAAGGCAGGTTTTGGTTTCCACTGATGTTTTGTGGCTTTCACCTGAATTGACAACATGAGGACTCATAATCTTTTTCCATTTCAGTTCCCTTGATGAGGTGGGCTGTCCTGGCACCACCCAGGTCCCTGGGTTCTGCTTTTATGGACAAGATGAGTTCATCTTCTTACTTGGCACAGTCTTTTCGGCAATGTTTTCTCGTGTGTGTGTGTGTGTGTGTGTGTGTGTGTGAGAGAGAGAGTGTTTTACTGATGGCTTCTATCTCAATCAGTCTTTCCTTCCTTCCTTCCTTCCTTCCTTCCTTCCTTCCTTCCTTCCTTCCTTCCTTCCTTCCTTCCTTCTCTCATTCTCTCTCTCTTTTTCATAAAGCAAGGCTTCTGGTGAATTTTCCTTACTTAATTGTGCTCTCTCACCAATGCCAATCTCTACTGAGGTTTTCAGATCAGAGACTAGCATTACTGACTCCCAAAACTAAAAGGGATGTTAGAAGCCAACATTCAACAGGTGAGGAAGCTGAGGCCCAGAGAGGTGAACCAAACTTCCCGATGTCACAGAGCCAACAAAACGGCAGAGGTGGGCCTAGGCCTTGATCCCCAGGTGCCTCATAGGTTCCTCATTCAACTTGCTTCATTGGTGCCCTGCTCTCTAGCTAAATCTGCCTTAGTTAACAGGTTTCTTGAAAGGATTGTTTCTGCCTCTTCTTCCTTCTCCTAGCTTTCTTGAAGTCCATGGTGAATTGAGAAACGGAAATGCCACCTCCATTTCCAGCCCCAGTTTGCCAGTCACACCCACTCCACGACCGTGAACAAGGCCAGCGGCAGCTGACTCCACCCTAACGTCAGAGGTGTGACCGTCAGCCCCATGGATTGTCCTTTCCTGGTTAGCAGAGCTCGGTTAGACTATGGAGGTTTCCATTAGAAAATGGCCAGCTCTCAGTCTCAGCCAGTGATTGGTTGGGAAAGGCCCGAGATGCCCCAGTTTGACTAAATGTGGGCATGACGGAAAACAGAACCAGAGCCTTAAGGAAGGGGAGAGGAAAGGGAGGAGGCAGCTGGGGAGCCTGGACAGGGAACTTGGGCACGCTGTAGGGATGGCTGCAGCTGACATTTGATTTGGAGAAGTGGATGGGTCATGGCTCCTAGAGCCTCCAGCTTCCTTGGGTTTAAAAATCAAATCAAGCTAGCAAAGAGAGCACGTCTCGTAAAACGGGAGGTAGGCCCACACTCCTCCCCTGTTCACCGTTGGATTTCTAGATGTAATTTCCTCTGGCACTTTTCATTTTTCCTCTCAAAGGCAGAATAATAAAAGAAGATGGAAAAAGGCTTCTCATGATCTCACCTCATTAAGGAGGTCACTCCTGTTTCTCACAGGACCGAAAAAGAGGAGAAAACTCAAAACCAAAACCCTAAAATTCCACCTCTTCCCAGGGCTGTCAGTCAGGGGAATGGCGGGCCGGTCATATGACTTATTCTGACTCTTATCACGCTGCCCACATTAAGGAGGGCCTTTAGTGAAGACAGAAATGAGGCCTTTAGTTTGCAATTAAAGGAAAAAAGAATCCATGACAAATGGGACGAGAAACAGAAAACAGAGCTTGGTAAGATCTGTGTCCCCGGTGGAATGTATAATCTTGGTGGAAGGTGCCCTGATTTCTACTTCTTCTGTGCCTTCCTCAGTGCCTGGCCCTAAAGTGGTACAGACCACAACGATCTCCCCCTCCTATCGCCAAAGAAAGCTGCTGTCTATGTGACCCGAGGGAGGGGCAGTAACTTAGAACCCACAGGCACACAGCTACCGTGCAGCCCAGGGCCAGGGCCAGGCAACGCCTTGGGAACTAGAATCCAAAACGGTGGTTAGGCGTGTGGGGCCACGGGGGTCGAAGGGTAGGATGGAAATGGGCAAAGGTGGACTGGCTGGAAAAGAGGTCACTACTCTTGACAGGTGACAGAGGATACTTGACTAGTAAGAGTGTCAGATGAGAATCTTTGGCCCATTACGAAGGACTTGGGTTGTTGAGGTGGGGTGAGGTTAATCTGTTTCCTTTTGCGGGGGCTTCTTGGCAAAGCTCTCTTGCTGAGGCTTCTTCTCTGAGCCGGGGTGAGAACACGGCCATCCAAGGCAGTGACCAGAGGACAATACCTGAAAGTGAAGGGCATCTCGGAAGAAGGGCAGGAAAGAAGGCACGTGCCTGTCACCATGACAACCTGACTCCAGGATTTGCTTTTGAGTTGGTCTTTTAAGAAAATGTCTCACTTTTCCTCCTTGGTAGGAAAAGAGGGGAAGGTTAAAGATGACTGGGTAGGAGGGAGCATGGAGGCGGAGGGTCAGTCCCGGGGGCAGCAGAAACCATGAGCTGCTGATTCTCAACCGGTTCCTGCTACTTCCTGCTTCCTTCAAACACTCTTAATATGTTGCAAAGCACATCACTATTTCCCCCGCCCCTTGTTTCATATTATAAAATACAAACAAATGACAGAAAAGGTCAGCTGGCTCGCCGCCGCCCACTGCTTAGAGCTGCAAGGACCGCCGTTTCCTCCCCGCCGTGAGACGGTGGTTGTAGGGGCGCGTCTTCATTTCCACGAAGGGGATGGAGAACTCATGGCCTTTCCAATGGTACCAGTTGATCCCCTGAAGGAGAAAGATGAGATGTCAGATCACCCTTCCCCCGTCAACGGAACTACCAGCTTGAAAAGAAGGGGAATGATGAAATCAGGGAATCCAAGTTGCGGATTTAGCCATTTTCCATTAACATGAAGCGTTGTGGTTGAGTTCTCAGTAAGGGCAAAAGAGCAGAGTGGCTTTCTAGCTTTTCTCTCTGGACACGTCCGTGGCCTGGGTCTCTAATAGGAATGTGTTTCAGGTCATTCCTTGTTGCTGGCTTTCTGGTTTTGGCTTTTGGGATTCGCAAGCATCAGTAACTAGTGATGGATTTCAAATACCCAACAGTATAGAAGCATTTCGAAGAGCATGACTGTTTGCTCGCTCCTGAAGGGAGAGGCAGGTGGGTTCCACCTCTCAGGTGACCAGCCATCTTGGTTTGCCCAGGACTGTGGGGTGTCCCTGGCTGCTGGCCATTCAGAGCTAAAACTGAGGAGGTCCCATTTGGTCCAGTTGGTCACGCTATCAACCAGCCCAGCTTATGGGCTTGTCTCTAATGGGGAAAGACAGTCCAGTTTATACCGCTACTTCTCCCTTCCTGGAACACTTCTTTGGATGAAGCTGAGCCTGTGAAGACTGCCTCTAGAACAGATAAGCTGTTCATGGGATTCTCTAGATGAGGAAATGAGATGGGTCTTGGCTGGTGGTCCAGGGCCTCTCTGGGTGAGTTCTAGCTCCTGAGTCCAGATGCTCCCCTTCTCTCCCTCTGGCTTCAACTCTGTCCTGCCCTTATCCCAGTGTCTGCATTACTGTCGTCTTTATGATAGCGCTTACTCAATACTCTGAGTGTATCTTTTTAAAAGGGAAGTGTGAGACCCACGTGTGCATGTAAAACATAAAGCTAAGGGACGGTGGGGTGCCTGGCTCTGGGTCAGCCACACGGCATCCGCGCCCCACCCACCTGACTGTGCCTGGACTCCCCGTATTTCCCGTTGAGGTTGGTCCGGTGGCAGTTCTTGTACCACCAGGCCCCCTTGTATGACATGGCACAGTTGGTAACTGCAACATCATTGTCTCTGTCCTCGGTGGAGAAAGGGCGGCCCTGATGATAGCTGAGGGAGTCCCCTGGAAAAAAAGACACAATCGTGAGGCTGTCCAATTGGTCATTCTTTTTTCAGGACTTTCTGAACTTTTGACTCATTCCCAACAAATCTGGCCTCTGCTTAAGAGACTTTCCACTCACCTCTGTTTCATCTGGCTCCTCAGATACTGAACTCTCACTCCCCCTGCCTCCTGGGTCCACTACTTCCGTGGTACTCTCTCCAGCTCATTGCCTCATTCCCCTGACCTTCCGCTCAGAGCTCTGTCCACTCAGCTCCACCTCACCATCCCCCTCTATTTCCTCCAGGCCAGCACTAGGACACAGACAGTCATGGTTCCTTTTGTCTCAGAGAAGATAGGGATGGGCCATGGCGACTTGGGCCAATCGGGTCACCACCGTGCAGACTGGTTTTCTCCATGGCTCATCAGGCCTGGTCAACTCATATCCAATACCCCACATTCGAGACTTGGGGCCACAGATGAAAGGGGGCATTAGCTAACTAGAGTTCCTATCCATGGGAAACAGGATGATAAGAAAATCCTAACCACATCAGAGGAGAAGTAGTTGGGAAAACCGGGGCTGTGTCTTGGGAAAGAAGAGGCTTGAAGGGGGAGGTGAAGCCCATGATCACTGACTTCAAATATCTGATGGGCTATTGAGCAAAACAACAACAAGAACAAACTAAAAACTGAAAGTTCTTTGGGGAAGTGTGAGGATCTGTAGATAGAGACTGTAAGGAGGCATATTTTGGCTAAATATATGAAGAGAAATGATGTAATATTAGAGCTGTTTACAAATGGGCTCGACTACTTGGAGATATGGTGAGAGCTCTCTTCTTAGAGGCTGGGTATTGTCTTGTTGGGATGTTGTGCAGGGGACTCAAAGAATTGAGTATTTGAGGTGAGGGATCAAACTAATTAGTTTATAACTATTGGCCAAACTTCAGGAAGGATTTGTGGTTAGAGATGGTGTGAAGGGACGCATGCTGTTGAATGAACGTCATCTTAGATGCTTCTGAGGTCACCTTAAGCTCGGAGAGGTCATATTTCTGATCCTGTGGCTTCTGAGTCCACACTCACAGTGGCCACACAGTGCCTCAGTTCCCTTTGACCACCGAGTCAGCTATGAATAAGACAGAAGACAACAACACACTTGTGTTCATTGTGGATGTCAAGGCCAACAAGCACCAGATCAAACAGGCTGTGAAGAAGCTCTGACATTGACGTGGCTAAGGTCAACACCCTGATCAGGCCTGATGGAGAGAAGAAGGCATATGTACGACTGGCTCCTGACTATGATGCTTTGAATGTTGCCAACAAAATTGGAATCATCTAAACTCAGTCCAGCTGGCTAATTCTAAATATAAAAATTTTCACTATGAGAAAAACCAACTTAGCTCTTAGGAGGATGGTCTTTATCTTAGGGGGAAGCTGATCCCCTCAGGCCAGTTGGGCCCTAAGTCAACATGTCATTATTTCTGTCCCATCTTTTTCGTCTTCCCCCTTCCAGTCTCCAAAAACGTCATTTTCCCATTTCTGCCAGTTCCCTGAAAAGGCAGAAAGGATTTCTTATTTTTCCTTTTTTTATATATATATTTTTTAGCATTTTCACCTCCTCTCACCCTAAGCCATACTCATATCCTTTGTCTTAAAAAACTTGAATTAATCCTACTGTCTAGTGACCCCTTCTTTACCATCAGTTCCTTGACTATATTGTCTCTACTCACATTCCCATTTTCTCCTGCTTATCTCTCTGTAATCTGGATGTTCCCCTCTTTAATCCCTTGGAACAACTCTCTCCAGCTCCCACTCTGATGTTGCTTACAGCTGTCTTTGATAGGGTCATGATGTTGGTCTTTATCTCCTCCCCAAATCTGGCTTCCCTTCCCATTTCTGCTTCATGTATCCACCTCATATATTCAGTACACTGTCTAAGTCTTGGCTTTTCTCTCTCAAACTGCTGTTTAAATTTGTACTTTTCTCTTAATTCCTAACATCAGTCACGGCCCCTGTTATCTCCTACCAGGATTGGTACAGCAGCTTCAGCCGGTCCCTGTTCTTCACTCGGATTTACTTTATCCTGTTTATGGCTGTCACTTTGATTTTCCTAAAGCCCTACTTCCATTATGCCACTCAAGACCCACCATGGCTCCCCACTGCCCACCATATTAAGACTGAACTCCTCTGCCATCTCAGTTTTAAGGCCCTTAAGGGTCTGGCGCCGCTCTCCTCCCTCGTCCTCTTTCTGTTCCTTCTGACTTCACCCCTTGTTCTGGGAAGCCAGGTCCTTTGCACTTTCCCTCCCTCCACGTAACGGCTCCTTCTGTGACTTCTCCCCCAGGAGTTTCCTTCCCTGGAATGTTTCCTTATCACGGGGATCCCAGTCAAACCCTACTGCCTTCATGAAGACCTCTTCAACCACCCACCTCCCTCTTCTCTGAATGCCCATTAAACCAGAGGTGAGGACCATTTATTTGGTGGTAAGTTGCTTCCTGATTGTTTTTTAAATAGGCGTTTCGTTCTTGCAGAAGTCAAGTCTTATACTTATTCTGAGTCCTCATAATTCATACAGTGAACTTTTAGGTGTTGCTCGCTCAACAGCCTTTTATTGGTAACTTGATTTGGAATTTTTGGTTCTAATCCAATTAGAGTCCTGGTTAGAGACTTAGATTTTTGAGGCCTTGAGCATAACAGAGATTGGAGAAGGGGCTGAACTTGGAATTGGAAGCCATGAGGGTGGACTGTTGTCAATAGGGCCACTGAAAATGAGCGACAAGTAAGAAAAAGGCCCGGGGACTTGGGCAATAGTAGACGCCAGAGAGACGATGGGCTCTTCCTCCTTGGAGACCTTCGGGTCTGGAAAGAACAACCATTGTGTGAAGTTGCCCAGAGAAAGGGGTAGCCTACAGGAGCCTAGTTTTTCATCTTTTTGATAATGAACTGGATATTTGACATAAGAGGTTAGACTGCAATTAATTTATGATGATTAGTCAAACCGTTGGTGGAACTTGCCTCTGAGACATGGAATGGAACGCAGTCCAGCAGCTCTGACCTCCAGGAGGCCGGATAGAGAGGCAGAGCTGCTGCAGGGGCAGCGGCTGGGCCCAGGTCAGACGGGTGAGCGCACGGGCCTGGGGCAGGTGGGGGGAGGGGTGGGACACGTCAGGAAGTGGGAGGGCTTGCTTCTCCTTCTGTGGGAGAAATAAGAACTGCTTTTCTACTGGCACGATCCTCATCTTAGGGAGTGGTGGCACCAGGTTATTTTTGACACGACTCAGCCTGACATTTTGTTTTCTATCCTTCATTTCAATGGCTACTTTAGGCCCAGAGTGTTTCGTTGGGGCACGTCAGGCAGGTCCAATTGCCACTGGGAATGATTTCCCATATGAACAACAACAAAGCAAAGAGTGTCTTCTCGTTGGAGTAACAGTACCTGGCTGGGAAGAGAAGTAACTGAGCAGATGCAGTCATTGCCAAGGCAACACTTTGATGATCTTCTTAATTCCAAGAGTCATACAAATGTTGCTAAATTTATACTCTAGCATTTAGCCCTATAATTGGAGTTAATGAAAGGACCAATAACTCCATGTTCCAAAGAGCAGAATACTTGGCAAAAACAGGTTTTATGAAATGTGCCATAAGAGAACCCAGGAAACAGATTGGCAGAGCCTAAGAAGCAGAGTGGATGTTATGTCCTGATAAAACTGTCCGTGCAACAGCTCATGGAGGTGGTTGTTCTACTTAGTGGAAATGTCATAAAAATCTATACAGAAAACATGACCACGTTCGGGGTTCTTGTGGAGGAATGAAAAGAAGTGTGGCTGGTGGGGAAACTTTAGAGCTATTGTTTGTTCCTTGGTGATGTTATGATGACTGCTGATGGAGGGGGGGAACATCTCAGAATGGTGGGGGGCAGGGAATCTCTTATTTTCAATGGTGGGGGGCAGGGAATCTGTCTTATTCTCATTAGTTCAAAGATGGCTTTCCTAGATGTCACTGCAAGGGAGATTTCTATCCAGACAATGGATGATTATGCTCTCACTGGATAAGAGTCCATATTGATTAATCTAGACAAGAAAACCAATCCTTTGCCCTTACATTGTACCTTTTTTTTTTCAACTTTAAATGCACTTTCACTCCATTAATCACAGTTTTTCCCTGACTACTCTGTGAAGTAGGGCAGGCATCATTATTAAGATTTTCCAGATGAGGAAACTGAAGTCCTGAGAAATTGATTTCGGGTCACCTGAGCGGTTAAGGACGGTCTGGATCAGAGCCAGTGGCTCCCAGCCCTCCGCCCTCCTCGTGGGCTTGCAGGGAATTTGCCTCATCTGTGGGCGCTGCGGCCGCCCGGGGCGGCTCAGGCGGAGAGTGTGGGGTCCTGGTCCTGCTGCACGCCTGTTGCCCGCGGGGGCTGCTGCGGGGCCAAGGTACCTGCCGTGCCGTTGTAGCCTCCTATGCGGAGTTTGTACAGGCTTCTTCCGTCCTCGACAGAGAACTTGTCGTAGTAGGCGAAGGCGGCCTCCTGGCCGTCCCGCATGTCCACGCGCAGCTCATAGCGGCCCTGGGACGTGATCCTGTGTATGTTGTCCAGCCCTGTGGAGACGAGCAGAGAATGCAGCAAGCCCAGCCTTAGTGGCTTTGGCAATGGGAAGCAAAATGGGACTGTGGCCTCAGAACAGATGTTCTGGGAAAGAGGAGGGGTACAGGGATTGCTGCTGCCTTTGGCTCTTCCCAGGTTGTTATCAGACAGCCCCTACCAGACTCTGCATTTCCTCCTGCAGAAAAGCCAGCCCAGTTCTGCTGCTGAGTTCCCACCACAGGTCAGTTCAGGGGTCCTGACATCCAGCCTCGACCCAGTGCCTGACCAGCCCTGAGCCTCTGGATTCCTGGCCCTGACCCCACAGTTTCCCACTCCAAACCAAGGTGTTGGTTGAAAATGATAAGAGATATCACATGGGTGTGAATCCTTTGGGGTGAGCGATAGGAAGCAAGAGGTAGGAACATTGATCAGACGAATGCAGAGTGGGCCCTAGGGGTCAGGGCTATGTGGACATCCTACCATCTCCTCGCAGCCTGCGGAGGGGGTTCCATCCACCTTTCATGACTCTGCCCCTCCTCCCCTCCTGAGGCTCCCATAGCCAGGTCAGAGAATACTGTCGCCTGCCTCCTGACTTCAGTTCCTTTCTCTCTAATCTACCTGCAGTATCTTGCACTGGTCTTCCCCAGCAGTTACCCTCGCTCACCCACTCTCTCCTTGACCTCTAAGCTTCCCAGGCTCTTGGTCTGATGTATTCTTGTAAGGTGCAAACCCTGTGAGTCCAGAGGTAGGCAGAGCCCAGATCATTGCTGGTGATCTTTGAGTCCTGATTTCTACCTGCCTACTGAACTGGGGTCTTCTTGCTTTGCTGTGACATCTGCTGTCTATTGGTGTATGCCGTGATTTAGAATTCTAAAAACTGCAGAGATGGAAGGGGATTTAGAGACTACTCAGGCTAGTCTCTTGGTTCTGCAGAAAAGGAGGCTGAAGTCCAGAGAGGCGAGATGATTGGCTGAGGGTCTCCTGGATCTGTTTCCCTATCCTTTTTGAGAGTTAAAGCCTCACGAAGTCGAAAGCTGCTTGCTATTTGCTGTTTGCCAAGTGGATGCCACCCTAGACTTGTGCTTGTGTGGATGTGGTGGGTCCTGGTGCTGCCTTGCCCGGATGCCCCAGTGGACTATTCTGCAGCAGCCAAGAACTCACAGCTGCCTCCTTCTTGGATCATTGCCCTTGACCAAACAGGAGTTGCTTCACTCTGGAAGCTACCCTCCCCCTCCCCCATGGCTCGGGGCAGACCTCCATCAATGTCTGACGTGGGGGGTACAAAAGCCTGGCCCCCTAGACCCACTGGGGACCAACCCTGGGGAGCAATTCATGCAGTCCTTCCCTGAGGATCACACCGAAGCTAATCTCTCACCAAGATCACATTGTTGTACTTTTCCCCCTGCTCTATCCTGTCCCCCGATTCCCCTTCTGAGAGCACACCCCCTGATAAATCACTTGAACAAGAATCCCTGTCTCAGGTTCTGCTTCTGGGGACCCCAACTTAGACTATAAACCGTGGGTCGGAGTGTTATTCCTCACCTGAGTATTGCCACCAAACTACACATCACTATTTAAGAGCCCTCCCTGGCTTCCTTTAACCTGTAGCATTAAGTCAAAATGTCTCTTCCCCACTTCAGATACCATAGCATGCCTTCATTCAACCCACCTAACCTCATGTTCTTCTTTCCCTGAGCTGCATCTTTGCCCTGGTTGGATTGTTTCTTCATTGTCCCATTTGCACATGCCGAAAGGATCCCTGCCTTCCCTCCTTTCTTGTCCCCTTCCCTTGTGTTCTTCTTGCTCATCCCTTGGTGCCTTCTCCAGGAAGCTGACTCTTTCTGCTCTGAATATCTGTGGCTTTCTTGTCAGTAGCTCACAGATCATTGCAGTGTTTCCCAGTATGGAATGGCATCTCTGGTGACATGAGAAGTATTTTGGGAATAAGGACTAAATAACTTTGAACACGTGGAGGAAAAGGTATTCCCAAATTCTCCCTCTTTCTCAATAGATTAAGGGGAAACCTTAACCCTGATCTTAACTTTAACTCTCAGTCTCAGTTTAGATCTAGTACTTTTGATTTGACACCCAACGCCTTCTAATCTTCATTTTTAACACCACCACCACCAGTAACCACAGCTGTCATTTAAAAATATTTGTATTGTTTTCTTTCTGTTGGATTTATTTTTTGAGACTCCGTTTTATTTACAGCACATGATAACTAGCTTTCCATTTTTGGCGATGCTACAAAGTTTGTTTCACAAAACAATAGATGTAATTAAAAAAACAAGTGATATATAGAAAATTCAAGTCCAGAACAGTTCAGCTATTTCCCAGACAGGACAAAAACTGGGAACGTGGCTGCAGTGGCCGAGGTCCAGAAGACATGGGCATTGTCTGGGTGCATTGAATTCCTGTGCATCCCACTTGTCTCCCCAGCAAATGCTTAGAAAGTAAGGACAATTTCCTAATCCACCTGACTTCTCTTTCGATGTTTTTACATGATTTTTATCTTATATTTTTATTATATACATCAGCAAATACAGGTCTGGGCATCTAATAGGTACTCAGTAAATTCTTATCAGTTGATTGATATCTCCAAGCACTGTAATAGGTCATGAGGTTAAGAGTGAATAGAGTTTGGTCCCAGCCCTGAAAGAAGTTTATACGGTATAGTCAAGAGAGACAGAAAGGAGAAGGGACATTGATTTGGGCCGCAAAAGAGAGAGTAGCCAATTCTCCCATAGACAAAGGGTGAGAAAAAAGGGTAGGAGAGGTTCTCTGGGCAAGAGGCACTTAGCTGGGCCTTTGAATATGCACAGAAACACAGCAGGGTGTACGGGGGTGGGGGTAGCTGGCTGGCAGAAGGAACATTAGTGGTTCTAAGTGTTTGGAGTGTGGTGTTGGTTGGGGGATGTAGGGAAGAGGAGTGAGGTACCTGGTAGCGGGGAGCAGGCTCAACAGGTGTATTAGAGATGGCCTTGTACCACAGCTAAGGTGTTTGGCCTTCACCTGCTGGTGATGAGGAATCATTGAAAAGTTTTACAAGTGGGGTTAGCCATTGCTCAGATTCTGGATGTGGGGGAGGTGATTCTAGTGGCCATGTGGACAATGGGTGGTCCTGGAGGCAGGGAGGCTGGTTAGTGGGCTGAGCATCCAGGAGAAAGATGGTGAGGCTGGCTGAGATAGTGACAGGGGAGAGAGAGAGGGGGGACCCCAGAGACAGAACACAAGTATTCGCCTTTCCCCTGCCTCCCTTTATAATCACTGTGGAAATCTAGCCAAGAGGGAGATGCAGGTACTAATAAACGTACTGCTTCCTGGGATTGGCTCCACTGCCGTCTGCCTGGGTCAGGTGTGTGTGTACCTTCTCACACCAGTTCGGTTCTCAGTCTACACCTCTCGCTTGCGTCAGACCTCTAGGAAATTGCCAGTCACCTCAATGCCGTTTTCATTTTCCCCTTTCCCTTCCCACGTCAAGTAATGACATTTCTCCAAGGAGCTAGGGCCAGGTGACTGCCTCATTTCTCTCCTGACCCGCAGGCTGGCTGGCTGGCTGTTGCCTGGCTTCAGAGAGAGGCCAGCCAGCCTGTTCCTCCCCACGCCCCATCCCCCGCCACCAGGCAGCTCACTCCCTTTGTAAAAGTTGCCTCTGTCAAGACCCATCAGCATAAGAGACTATTAATGAGGATGGGAAGAGACAGAGCAAAGAGGAAAACACCACAATAAGATAAAAAAAAACAGATCAATAGTGGAGCCAAACAGAGCAAGAGGTACCGAAAGCAATTCACGAGCTGTCAACTTCTCAACAGACACAGGGTTTCTGATAATCCCAGATGGACCCAGAGAGGAGAGAGATGGACAAAAACCCGGAGCAGCATCCCAAAGGAAACAAAAAGGAGGCATTACCCAGCCAAAACTCGTCCTCCAGGTTCCCGAAGCCAACACGGTACTCAGCCCATTTCCGGAAAAAATCCGTTTGGCCATTCTGCCGCCTCTGGAATACCTGTGAAGAGGAAGTGGGGAGAAATAAAAAATGCTGAGGAAAATAAACTCTAACAAGTAAAATTGCTATGACTGAGTTTTCTATCTGCGATGACAGAGGTGCTCAGGACCACCGCAGCACAGAGCTCAGCACTTGCGCAGCAGCTGCAGGAGGTGCTCAGAGCCCTTCTCCGAAGCGCGGGGGCTCTTGATGAATAGGCCGGGGTGCGATGTTGACACTAATTTGCACCCCTGCAATGTAGAAAGGATTCAGGATGCATATCAAGCCCCCAGATAGTCCAGGGAAATAGGCTTGGCTCTCAAATTAATCTTTTCGCACCACGGAGTGCAGCAGAGAGCATTTCTCACCAAAAGAAAGGAACCAACTTCAGATCAGCTAGCAACTGTCATCAGCTTATCTCAGGCAAAGCAAGCACGTAGCATTCACTCTCTGAACTGCTTAAGTGCTAATTTCATTTAACCTCCAATACGTCAGCCTCGGCTTCAATTTCCAATTATGCTTTAAGAAAGAGGCACAAATATGTCAGAAACATAAAAGAAAACGTCTCCCAAGAGTGACTGTTATGAGCACAGCCACCATTTAACTCCATTCAACAGCTATCCATTTTGTACCGTGAATAATCCAGTGCTGTACGTTAGTGCTGGGGGCGGGGTGGGTGGGGATCCACAGGAGGGTGGTGGAGGGGCTGGGTTTCCATCTGCACTGACTCAGCTGATGCTTTAGAGCCAGGCTGCCAGAACTCTGCCATCTGCATGGAGGCCCGCGCTGATACGTGGCGCTATCGACAAGGCTGTCCTTCTTCTTCTCTGTACTGCCCTATTCGACGTGGGAGGAGGGTGGTGACAGGAAATGGCACCCTCCTGTCTGAACTGTCCTACAGAAGGAGCAGTTTTCCTGGGGCCCCCTCACTGGGCCAGGCCACTGCAGCCTCCATATGCTTATTCCCTCCTCTGCCTGGTCAAACCGATGATCAGGCTGTGGAGAAAGGGGCACTGTGGACAAGGGAGAGCCCCAGGTTAGACACGTTGGGGGTGGATGAAAGGACGGCCAGAGGATGGTGAAGTGTGGATCAGTAGGTGCTGCGCCAGGTGGACTGACGCACCAAGGATGCTGGCATCACGGAGAGCAGCGTGGGTACTTACGATCCAGCCACCCCCGTCGGTGGTCATGTCGCAGTACACCTGTAGCTTCTGGCTTAGCTCTCCGTTGAGGAAGATGGTGTAAACCCCACTCAGAGTGTCTCCGTTCATCCAGTGCTGGGCACAGTCTTGGGGATGAGGGAAGATGCGGCCCCCTGTATAGGGAAAGAGACGATTTCAAGGAAGGGTCTTTCTTCCCACTCTGAGTAAGAGCCTTTTGCATCAGAGAACATTTTAGAGGGCCTCTGTTCCTTCATCAAGAGCTGTAAAAAGAATCCTCAGTGGATCTCGGTGTGTGAACCCTGTATCATCCTGTATTCCCTCTCTTCAACTGATGTTGGGTTTACCAGACAACATACAGTCCTGTGGGATCTGAGGACCAAAGAGCTGGGTTCACTGCCTGGCTCCTCCACTTACCTATTTGATTAGCTTAGGAAAAATAGCCTGACTTCCTGGGCCTCAGTTTTCTCATCAGTAAGATGGGGATAATAAAAATAGTCTTCCCCCAAGGGTGAAGGTATGTTAGTGCAGCTAGTGACTGGTTATTCAGGTGATGCTTATCGATGCATGGACCACAATAAAACACTGTAGAGCCCACCTTTCAAAAGGATGAGAGGCGCTAAGCAAAGCCTCTACCATCTTCACGGCAGCCATTAAGCCATTATGCCCAAACAAGCTTAGCGTTAGCAGGAAGATGGATATCCATTCCTCCTGCAAAATCATCTCCTGATTGGACTAAACAATCAAATGGCCATGTTTTACAGTTCAGTTTAAGTTTAAGGAGAGGGCAGAGGAAATAAATTGCTGCTCATCTTTCAGAGAGAACAGCCCAATTTGTAGAACAATATCTAATTAGCTGAAAGAGAAGCTTAAATCATGTGTCTTGAAGAGTTTAGCTTCAGGGCAAATTTGAATGCTTAACAGGCAGGCCAAGAAGCAGAGGTCCCATGGGACGGAGAAGCTTTTTCTGGACTGCAGGGGCTGATAGAGCACATTAAAGGCAGAGCTTGCCACATGAGGAGAAGTGGTTTGGGTGCTGTGTAAATATATGATCTTCTGGGTCAATGAAAAGTGTGGTGTGGTTGATGTGGTTCTGCATCCTTGAACTGTAGCAGAATTATGAAGAGAGGCTGCGTAGGGATCTCAGGGGTCAGTCACTGCCGTGTCCCCTGGCGGCAGAACCAGTGCACTGCAGGCGTGACAGAGGGCCACGTGGAGAGTCAGCCAGTGGGCCAGAGCAAGGGACAGACAGCATACTGCCTCACAAGGAAGGCAACATTGCAACCTCACTGCCCTGGTCACAGATCATCAGTGAAGCATCCTGTATTAGGAAGAGGTCGCTGGGCTTCTGTAGACTTTATGCAAGGCCCCTCTTGGAGATGTGCTAACTCCTCCTCTGGCACGAGGACTGTCCAGCTTGCTGCCACACCACAGTTGGTAAAAGGTCTCTCCCACTTAAGGTAGTTTAGAACAAGGCACTGCCTACTTCAGGCATGGTTACACCAGGGAGTAACAGTCTATTTCTATAGAACTTGTCCTTCATAAAGTAGGCTTGTATTTCCAGTTAATTCTTGCAAGAAACTTGAGAGGAAAGCAGATTGTTATAGGTCAAAGTCTTATCTTACAGAGGAGGAAACGGTGCTCAGAAAGGCCACATGACTTCCTCTGTTCATCTGAGCTCCAGTATTCAGACCCCAAGTCAAGTGGTCCTTGCACTCCATTAAAACAGGGACCATAACATGTGATACAGCCTACATCTATCCAGACAGCAAATGATTAATGTCTATATTTATCTTAGAAGCATATAAAGCCCCAAAGGTTAAAGTTTCTGGGGACAGGTGCCAGGGAGGGCCTTCCCCTCTCCCTGCTGCTTGGGGAGTGCAGTGATGATTTCCAGGCTTCCAGGCCATGCTCTAGCTGGTCTTTGGAGCAACCAGCCTGTCCACCTCCCTTTCTCCCCTCTTCTCTCACTGCCTGAGTTTCTCATTTTAGATCAACACAGAACACGCTTGGTCTTTAGCTCACTCCTGTCTTATGCACTAATAGCCCTTTCTCCTGAATCAACTCCGCTCCTCAAAGTGGCCAGAACCCCGCAATTCTTTCCGATACCCAACGTGTCTCCAGCAGAACATCTTCCCCCTAACCTCAAAACAACACTCTCATTCAGATCCACATTAAAAAAACCAAACCAAACTTTAGAACAGACCAATAAATGAATCTGGGACAAGACAAGGATGCCCACTATCCCCACTCCTATTCAACATAGTCTTGGAAGCCCTAGCCACAGCAATCAGGCAAGAGAGAGAAATAAAAGGGATCCAAATTGGAAAAGAGGTAAAAGTGTCACTATATGCTGATGACATGTTACTATATATAGAAGACCCTAAAAGGTCCATACAAAAACTACTAGAGCTGATTGAAGAATTCAGCAAGGTAGCAGGTTACAAGATTAATGTTCAAAAATCAGTGGCATTTCTTTACACTAATGATGAATCAACAGAAAAAGAAAGTAAGGAAACAATCCCCTTTAAAATAGCACCCAAAGTAATAAAATACCTAGGAATAAATCTAACCACGGAGGTGAAAGAATTATACACAGAAAACTATAAGCCATTGATGAAGGAAATTAAAGAAGACTTTAAAAAAATGGAAAGATATCCCATGCTCCTGGATTGGAAGAATCAATATTGTTAAAATGGTCACACTGCCCAAGGCAATCTACAGACTTAATGCAATCCCGATCAAATTACCCAGGACATATTTCACAGAACTAGAACAAATCATAATAAAATTTATATGGAACCATCAAAGACCTAGAATTGCCAAAGCATTACTGAAGAGTAAGAAAGAGGCTGGAGGAATAACTCTCCCAGACTTCAGGCAATACAATAGAGCTACAGTCATCAAGACAACTGTAGGTTGTCTTTGTAGGTATTGTACAAAAACAGAGATATAGACCAATGGAATAGAATAGAGAGTCCAGAAATGAACCCACAAACTTTTGGTCAACTAATCTTTGACAAAGGAGGCAAGAATATACAATGGAATAAAGATAGTCTCTTCAGCAAATGGTGTTGGGAAAACTGGACAGCAGCATGTAAAACAGTGAAGCTAGAACACTTCCTTACACCATACACAAAAATCAACTCAAGATGGATCAAAGACTTAAACATAAGACAGGATATAATAAACCTCCTAGAGGAAAATATAGGCGAAACATTATCTGACATACATCTCAA